GCATTATAACCACGTGACATTTACTCCGATCGCCAAAAATTTTATGTTATATTGTAGATTGATCTATATGTTATCCATTCTATGTGTTATACTTACGATAAAAGTAAAGGTGGGGATACCAGAGAGCTTCAAAGTAGGATGGTACCCCCTAAAAAAAACTGGGTCGAGTCACCTTAACAGGACAGCAACGACAGAAACGACTTGAGTATTCACGATATTTGGGACGGACAAAGACAAGCTCTTCAGGGATAGTTGGATACTTTTGAGAGAATAACCACTGGTAGACCACCCAGCCCAAGGGAAAAATGCTCCCCCTCTCTCGCTCGCTTTTGCCGCAGAAAACATAAAAAATAGCTAAAAATCTACCGCTCACGCTTCGCGCTTGTGGAAAAATTTGAGCTCGACTTGTGGGCAAGACTAAGGGGGAGACTTTGGCTCCTAAAGGCTGACCTATAAATAGAGCTAACATGTTCATAGCTCCCCCAGAATAAATCAGTTGCCCCTTATTAGGTCAAGGAAAAAACAAATGTCACAGTGCTCATCCCTACCGCTTCATTTTTGGACCGTCTGTCTTATTTATTATTGGAAAGGTTGGAAGGAACGAAAACCAACAGATGTTACTTTCAACACCAGTTATTCGAAATCCTACGTAAACAGGCGTTACTTTTCATAAAACAAAGCTGACACATATCGTTTGACCCAACACGTTATTAAAAACCAAATTTTCGTTAAATCAATATCTAACCTTTCATTTATCACTACTTGACCGGGAAAAACTTCAACTTATCCCTGGGGTAGTATAATAATGTGCAAAGAAAGCATTCAGCTGGCTATGACAAAAGGATGGAAACAACGAAAAAAAATAGCTCGAAAAAAAAACCATGGACTCTTGTAAAAGCCTAAGAACATCTGCGGCCTGGCAGCCAACTGAATGTGGTTTCCATTGAGCATGCGCTTTAGGTGCCTTCAAATTTTAAACCTTTTAAACCAACAGTTCGAAAACTCCTGCGCATTCACTTTTTACTGATTTCCGGTGCAGAAACATTCTCGTCCCCAGAGCCTGTCGTTTCTTGGTCGGTTGCAAATTAAGCCGAGTGGCTCTGGGGACGAGAATGGTGCCCGGGAACGTTTCAACGAGGCAGATTAGAGGAAACGTTTTCTCCGCTGAAGGCCTCGGCAATTCCTACTTGAGCATGCTCAAATCAAATCAAATCAACTTTATTGGTACATCCAATTAAAATAGGTTTTCACATACCAATTACAATAAAATCTAATATGAACAATAGAAATTCAATATAAACATTTGAAAGTGAAAAAACATTACCATACTATTTAAAAAATATAAAATATGCATAATTACACCTATTGAGTGTCAATGGCTTAAAAACTCGTCAAGGGCACGTCCTTTAATCGCATTCTTAAAAACATTAAATGACTCTATGTTTGCTAAACTTTCTGGAAGGTCATTCCAGAGCTGAACAGCCCTATATGAGAAAGATCGCTGACCTGTTGCTGATCTAAAAGATGGTACATGAAGTTTATCTTTATTCCTAGTATTTCTAGTATGCATCTGCCTTCTTGTCGAAAACTTATTACACAAGGATGGTGGGGCTAATCCCTTTATACATTTGAAAGCCATTAAAATGTCTCTAACCTCCAGTTGCTTAGCAACCGGCAACCAGTGGAGTTCCTTTAACATCGGCGTGATGTGCTCATACTTTCTTGTGCCAGTCACAATCCGTGCCGCAAAATTCTGAACTTTTTGAAGCCTAGCAATGTTCTTTTTTGTTGTACTAGACCACATGGA